TTTAGTCATTAGTCATTTAACTTCTATGGCAAATGTATAACTAAAAATCTTGTCAATATGGTGATTGGTGAGTATACTGTGAAGTGTAAATACCATAATATTAAAAGTAATTTCTTAATATGTAGGCATTTAACTTAAAATTTGAAATACCCAATAAATAATTTTAGAAATGTTTTTCAGTATTTTTATTTATTTCAAATTATTAATGTCTACTCTTAATACTTGGCTATTGCTTATTTGCCAATGATTAATTTCATCACCAAAACATTTTATATAACTTTAGGTACCTATAGGCCATAGGGAGTGTAATTATATATTAGGTATAAAGAGTCCCAAGGCCTATTTATCTGATGATTTCGAAAAGCGTAATCAAGACAATGAATAATGATAGATTATATAATATTATGTTTATACATTATACATAATAATATAATATACTGTTTATCTATATCGTATACCGTTAAATAATATTTAATAAAACAGAATGAATATTGATTCTTTTAATTAGGTAATTTACAGTTTAAATAATTAAAAATTGGCATTACAAGTCAATAATTTACTCGTGAAGAATAAATCATCGAAAATTTAATTAACTTACCGACCGGCACAGATTATACGCCCATTATAATGCACAATAATTATTTAAAAATCAAACATCGTTTCCATAGTCGTGAACAATACATTTTGTATTAGGATGATAATAAAGGGTAATAGGTAGCATACGTAAAAAATTATTATAGGTAAATACTAATAGGTACCTAAAATGTAATAGGTACCAATTACATTTATATACCTAGCAATATGATAATATCACTAAATAGTAAATATTAATATAAATCCTATCTAGGTTAGGACAAACAAAACCGATAGGGCTAAAGAGCATGGAACAGTGATAATAATGAACAAGAATATTAAGATATCAGGATTCAGGAGAAATAATTTGTAGACAATACGATTAAACGAAACATTAAATTATATTATGAAGAAGAAAAGAACACCACCACCAACTGAAATACTCAAATATCCGTTATACAATGACGTATATAAAAGTAATCACGACTTACGAGCTGTTACGAAGAATGGTTCTAAACTTTTAATATTCATGTGTGTCTTATTTAACCACGAACAATAGACAATGGATAAGTAGGTACTGAAAGGATAATAATGTAATACCTATATGGTAAGTAAATTCTGTTTACATAGGTTTCACATACCTATACACCGCCCATCTATAAATCTGTATAATATTATTAATTATTATGTTGTACATTGTGTGATTATTAAATTGTAGCCTATAGGTAGCAGTAGACAGGTATAATCGTGTACTCATTACACGTGTACCAGTTACCATAATATAGTCTCATGCACAGGATTTCGTAAGACCAAAACCTCCAAAACATTACATACCTACTCATTAAAAATACCTAAGTCACATACCTATATATTCACGTTATTATTGTGGTGTATACATAACCATGCTTAGTCGATGGTAGTATGATATATGTCGTATTGCTATAGTATATAGGTAGTTATTATTTTCTAATTTTGTTTACCGATATGCAAATAAAGTTTTTACCTACTCATATTTAAATTTCTAAATAATATGACCAATTAAAAGATTAAACCCTTGAAACCACGATTTCCTGGTCGTACAATTTGAGTGTGTCGTTCAAAATTGGTAAAATACATATAGAATAACCATGTAACTACCAAAAGTGATATGATTACAGTGGTCTGAGACCGTCTGTAGACTATTATTCTCGATTACGATTTAAAAAATCTCTGGTAGAGAATGTACACAATACATATCGCATAATGTTTTCCGAACAAAAAAGAAAAAATGTAGTGTTCAAATATTCAAAACAATATTACAGTTATATTAAATTATAGCTCAATGTCGTATTTACGATGGGGGGAAGGGAGTGATTAATATGTGAGCGTATAATATACACAAACGCAGTATACAACTTTATTATTAAATAAATAGAATTAATGTTGTACTTCATAATATTTTTTTTAATTCAATGCTAAGCGGATTATTGTTTATGAAAAGTTGAAAGAAAAAAACTACAAATAAATTAAAATTTATTATTTATTAATTATTTTAAAGCTTAAGTAACATAATATTATCCGTAGAAATAAATTATTTTTATAAAAGTATTTTATTGCACTCGAAATTTTCTACTATTCGTTTATTAAATAAATATCAGATCCAGTGTTAAATCAATTTTAGATCGATCTTAATTCTTAAGGTATATAAAAAAAAAAATGGAGATTTTTTTTTTTTTGGTCATCGACCCCCAAAAGAAAATCTAATACAGCCGTATACACCACAAGGCACGAATTGTACAGATGTCCGTAGTGTGCAGTGCGGTCGTGTTGAATTATTGTGAATCGTTTATTATTATTATATATATAGTCATTATAGAAATAGTAGGTACCAATCGCGGTGAAATGAAAATTTAAATTATATTTATTATTTGTATGTATACACAGGCCATAAGCGATAGGCGTATTGCCCCTAATACTTTATCCTTTTATGAATAAAATAAACTATTAAGTTTTCGTCTGAACAACGACGTGCAAGATTAATGATGACGTGTAATGTGTATTTGTATATAATATCGCCAGACACGGCGCATCTCTGAATCCCGTAAAACTATTATATTAATATGGGTTATGGGTAGGTACTAGTCACTATATAGACAGTATTCGTTAAACCTGCACTACTTATAATTTAATGACGTGCAATGAATACCTCGTAAAATGTATTTATATATTTTCATATATTTGTTTTTTTGGTGCCGTCTGAAAGATAAATAATTTTACCGAAATTTCACTTGCATATTCAACTGCAACCACCTGTATTATTTTTTCGTCCGAAATTTAAGTGCTCAATTTTCTTTGCTCGTAATATGTGTTTTAATAGTAGTCGTCTTAAGTGCTTTTAACGGAGAGCAGTCGACATCCATTTATGGAGTGACGGTAAAATATTGATATATATGACTGCTGACTACTAGCACTAAGTGTCCAAGTATCTACAGTATGTTTTTGTAAAAAAATCTACCAAAAATATTATTTCGTATCGACCGACGATTATGAATCGTTGTTTTGTAACCGTATACCTACCTAATATTATGAAAATTTAATACTTTCTAGTTATAATAAATAATTTCGTCCGACCAACGGTCCAAGAATCGATTGGTATCCGGTATCCATTAATTGTTTGGTATATGTGCGTGATAGAATGTAAATATGTAATGAATGATATATAAATTATATTATACTCTTAAGAAGTACATATGTTATTGTACGTTTTGGTATTACGTTTACGTAGCCACGAAGGTATCTATATATTGTATACATAATAGTCGAAAACTAAAGCGTAATACAGCTCTCGAATTATGCATATATATATTATATGGATGAAATTATGAAAAGGTCGTCGTCCTCGCTCTTCTCTTCGTCATCATTATCTCTAAAAACCCGTGACACTGTCCGGGAGGCATTTATTCACGTATAAGCTATTACATGCCTATACTAGCTGACTATATACCGCACGTGACGGACGACAGTATATAGGTAGTCATATTATTGTGCTACCAAGTATAATTATTTTCATATTATCTATTATACGCTATTTTTAATTATTTTATTAGTATTACATTTGTTTGTAAATTATAATATTATCATAGGTGAAACTAGACATTTGTGAAAATTGCTCTTCTTTCTCTTGTTAAAAAAAATATTAGTAATTCAAATTTGTATATTTTTTAATGTTATAGAAGAACTTACCTTTATTTATATAATTAATAGGTACTATAAACTTTGTTTTTGTATTAATATTTAATATAATAAGATATTAATACATTTTTTTAATATAATTATACAATTTCAAGTCATATTCAAGCTATCATTGAATTTCAAGAAAATATATCAATAATTATTAAATTCCACAGCCTATATTTTTGATGAGAATATCAAGTCACTGCAAACAAAAATATGGACTGTCTACATCGGACACGGTCATTACCACTCTTCTTTCTTTTTCATATAAATATGTGTATAGGTATTTGACGAAAACATATTGTATACATTTTCCTCCACAATCAAACATTGTATAAAATATTAAAATAATTAATATAGATAAATAAAATAAATAAAAATAAAAATATCTAAAAATAATACAAATTTTATTTGTTGATTTCAATGAAATATTTTAAAAACCTATTCTTATTTCTTAAAATTTATTTATAATTACATGAGGTAAAAGAAGCTTGTAGTAAACACATAACTACATAGGTAGGTACCATAATATAATATGTATTAGGTATTATTGAAAGTAGTGATCAAAGTAGATATTTATTGTTTTCGTCCCAACATTACAGAAAAATAACCACAAAAACGATATTTTAGTTCTTTTTAAAGTACAATTTTTTATATAGGTAATATATTATTAGGTATGTATTTAGGTACTCCATCTGTATAATAATTTCTGAGGCCGTTATCGGCATTAGGCTAGGCCATGGCTTAACCCGTTGTTTTACCTATAATTATATCATAGTATTATATTTCTGCTCCTTGACGTCATCTTAATAATAAGGAGAAGGATCAAAAGATGGGTAAATTCTCTTACATAATTTAAAAAGCAATCCAATGGGCCGGTTGTTATTACTTGGTATGTTGTTAACTAAACAGTTATATTTTAGGTATATTCTATCGAACATTTTTAGCAGTCGTTTTACGGAAAAGCAGTTTTACAAACCAGGATATCGGCTTATGCAGTTGGTATGATAAATTATATAAATTAAAATTACATAGTTATACCTACAGATGTAAATACGCAATAAAATGTCAAAAATTAAAAAAATCCATTAACGCCGGTAAGACAGATACTGTATGAATACGCATTTTTATCACAGACAACGAGATGGCGCTGTCACGGTTACTGCCACTGCTGGGGACCATCTTGACTGAGCGCGTCTCTGGTGTACACAACAGCACGGTCGTCGACCATCATCACCCCGCAGGTCGCAGTTTGCACTGTGCCCACAGTCTTGCGCAGTTGCAGTGTGTCATCGTTTGTTTGAGTTTTGTTGTCGTTTTACTTTCCGTCGCCGGTTTTTCTCAGTTTTTATTTCAACTTGACTTATTTTTTGCGCGCCTTTCCGACACACGACCGATCTGTAAATCGTGGTTTTGTGTCTCCGATGATGTGAAACGGCCTCATTTCAGTCCAGACAAACCTCTGTGAGGTCCTGCAAAGAAAAAGCTTGTTTCGGTATGTACAAAAAAAGTGAAATAATTTAAATAATAAATATTATCTGACATCTATCGTCTATGCCTATGTGACGTGGGTATATTTATGTAGTCGTTTACGAGTGGTTTTTGTTAATTTATTCAATTCAAGCAGTCGCCCAATGCTTTTCAATCATATAATTATATTATAGTAGGCATATAGAAAAAATTTTTGACATTAAATGCTTCTTTAAAAAAAATATATTATGAATTTATTTTTAAAAATCTAAGATAAACACTGTCATATTGTTTTGGTTTTTATATTTATATTTTGTTATATTTTTTTACGCCTAAATATCAATAGGTACTTATTAAAGTATAACTTTTTAAGCTTATTTGTTTGACATTGTTTATCAATATTGATATACTATTATGACCTTTTTAAGGATATTTTAAATTAATAAAATAGGTTACTATCTAAAAATCAAAAATTGACTGTGTTTCATCAACAGCTATTATAAGAGAAATGTTAAAAAAATGCGAATGTAACGAGGAATGTAATATCTAGGCGCTTATAGAAAATTATGAGTGTTGATTGTTAAAAGAATCACTCTGTATATCTGTATAATTTATGATTTTATTATTGAATAATGGAATTGCAATGTTATGTAGTTAACCATGTTAGTAATATGTCTGTAGTAGTGTAGTCCATCTAAAGTCTTGTAGATTAATTAAGCATTGACCAGATGGCAACTATAATATTTGTTTTTATACATTATTGATAAAATCTAATCATATACGCCAATGTTATTAGGATTAGGTGAACTATGTTTATTATATTTTTTTATTTAATTCTAGTAGGTATATCTTGTATTATTATTGTAAAAGGGCTCATTTGTTATTTATTTATACTTTTAAACAATATTAGGTAGCTTATTCAATCAATTCTTATTGTTTATTATACAATTTTTTAACATAATTTTCTTAAATTTTTTGTTTCATGATTTGTTACTTAATTTAATAGGTATCTACTAGATAATCAAAAGTATCTATAGGTAGAAAATAAAATGTATTTGTACTACATATTAGTATTTAGTAGTACTAGTAATTATATTTTTACCTACAGTTCTATTTAGTTTTAAAATGAAAAAAAAAATATTATTATCTAGATACCTAGTTAAAAATGTGAGAAAATTGAATTTTAAAACTAGCTTTTAAACCAAATTTAACACTTTTTCTAATAAAAGAGCCTGTGTTAAATTAGCTGTAGTTATCTATTTTCTGGCTTCTAATGTACTTTTGTAGAAAGTGTGTAAATATTATTACTTTAATTTTTTTTGTTTTATTTACTTAAATATTAAGTAAACTATCAATATATTAAAAATAAAATAATATCTGGGTATGATCTAAGATGGGAATTTTGTTTAAATTATTTTTTATAATACTACTTACAGTTATATTTTTAATAATTTGAGTCATATTATACCAAATGATGTCTAGGAAAAAAAAATTGCAGTCCCCTTCTCCTTCATATGATCATTGATTATAGAATTCTATAATCAATAATAAGATGGATAAATCTCCTGAATCACATGACAAAAAGAATACTCTATAAGTCTATAATATTTCAAAATAATGAATATTATTGTTACTTATATATTTGACAGGCACCTCTGATTGTAACTATGATTTTAGCTATTGTAGTTTGAATCAAAGTGATAATATAAAATTGTCAATTTTTTTTTTATTAATTTATAATAGAGTACCTATATTATATTATTAATAGTAAGTTGATAACTATCAAGCTAATATATCTCCCGGTAAATGCCCCTTTGCCCCTCTTTTAACATAACCTTGTGTTTAAATAAAGTAAATATATTAAATATGATATAGATATAAATTATAGTTCTATTGTAAATTACACTAAATATCAACCTAACTTATTAATACCTAATTAATCATAATAAAACTTTGAGTAAATAAGTAATTTATATTTTTACATTATTATTTAGACAGTTAGGCTTGTAAAGCAAATCAGAAATCTGATATATTTTTGCTTATCTAAATGAGTAAACATTTGAGGTTATATATAGCTTAATAAATTAAAATTATAATACTGGTATGAATAAAGTTACCTAAAACTTTTACAAATAGGTTTGCATTTATACATTTTTATTATAGATAATATAGGGAGGTATTAAATACTTCATTGTTTTATACTTATTATTGTGGTTATTCTCTTGAATAAGTAGATATTAAGTGTTATGTATCTGTACAATGCATAGCTTTGGTCATAAGTCATAACTTAAATCTTATAATTTATAAGTACCTATATATTCAATAATTTCAAATATTTAAATTTTAGAATCACCTAATTTATTTAATAATCATAGTTGCTATTGACTATGAGATGTGCAATTTGATTTTAATAATTGTAATAGTAAACTTTGTTTAACTGTTTAATTTATATACTATAGGTTCATTATTTGATTAGTTACTTATTAATTACTTATACCGCCATACCGGACACAAAAAGAAGAAAGAGAATTAGGTACTAAAAACTTTTAATATTTAAGTATTAGATTAATGGAATGTAAATTAGGTACTTGAATTTAAACTATGATTGTAAAACCAATCGAAATTTGTTAAGTTTAAAAATATATATAAATGTGTAAGTGTTACCCAAAGTGTTACTATTATTACAAATTATTATTATTATTATTATTATTCAGTTATTAAATTATATTTTAAGGGAGTTAATGTTTGTGAACATTAAATACCTGTTAATAATTTTTTTTGTAGGAGAGTAGGTGTTTATTTTTATGTTTTTTTTGATAATGTTTTATGCTCCTATTTCGACTAATATAAATAAAACGCTGTTAAATTAGTAATTATTTCATTTAAAATATTTTGCTCTTATGGTTTTATATTCTGAATCCTAGTATAATAAACTTGATACTTTTATCGAGTTGCCTAGACGATCACTAAATATTTAATTAATCAATGGTGAGTTAATCCCTTAAATATGATTTAGTTGTCCACAGTTGGTCCACTAAATCTTAATAGCCTATAGAATTAATAATTTATTAATGCGGCTCAGCATTTATTAAATTCACATAGCATTATTTATAAGCTCTAATAAATGTATATTTAAATTTCTTTTATTTATTGTATGGAATTTAATATTCTTAAAGAGTGAATAATAAATTACTTTGTTCAATAAATTTAATCATTTAAGATTTGAAGGAGACAACAGATAAACATCGATTGAATACAATAAATTTCGCAGTAACTATTCTCATTTTCCGCCAAGATTCGACCCAGTTTTGGTTTTATAGATGGAAAAAAAAACAGGTCCCGACTATACTTTATGTCACCATGTACCAATATTTGTGGCATTCTCAATATTATCCATTAGAACTGGTTAACGTCATTAACGATCATTTTTATTGAAACATAATGTACAATGATTGGTTTGCCTTAACTATGTGTTTGACCCGTTCAAATGATATGGCCTTGACCGCCTAGGTCATGGAGCTTAAACAAGTAGTTTTTGTGGCATGACCGATTTTGTTTTTACGTTTTCATTATTTTTAATCATACAATCATACGTCTTTCCATACTAAGAATAAACGACAACCTTGATAGAATGTGTTCCTGATATCAGAAATATTATGACAATTATTAATAATGGGTAGATATGTAATAAAAATGTATTTTTCGAACAAATGGCATATAAGTGTTGATTTTTCTTGGCTAAAAAACAAATTCATATATTTGACCAAGTTGCGAAAATTATTTATTATAAAATGAATAATAATTGTTTTATATATTATGATGTATTATATCTAATTATTATACGCAGTAGTATGATTTTATTTTTATCTTATTATCGGGATGTCTTTTGTAGTATTATATTCCAGAATAAAATTCAGTTATTTTTTTCGTCATTTATAAATGTATATTGTTAATAGTTAGTCACGTTTATTTAAGTAAATAGTTATCACGATTCACGATTGGATTTTGTTGTCAGTTATTATCTATAAAGTTCGATAACATAAATGGGATTACTCTTAACTTAATTTGTAGTTAAGGTATATTATGTGTATAGTTTGATATTTTAGCAGGTATTAGGTTATTATGTAGGTATTCAAACACTTAAATAATTTATTATTTTCACGAGGAACTTTAATTTTTATTAAATGTTTCATTTTAATCGTTATATGCCTAGCGTATAAACCATCCATTGACTGTAATTTTGTTGTTTTTATAAATTATTTATGTAATAAATTATATACATAACAGAACGTATTAGGGGAGGCTTTCAAGGGTTTCATCTCTTAAGAAATTTAAATACCTCCCTCTCCTAATTTAATCGTATAGACATTCATGGACCATGTACTTATATAGTAATCATGGTGTGATCAATTTTATTTTGGATAATGTTTCTACCCTTAAAAAAATTTAATTATTGTCTGCTTATATGAATGAGTAAAGTGAGGTGAACAGCAAATACCTGGGCTCTGGATCCTGTCTTTTAAATATAACAAACTAATATTTTACTGGTATGTTCTATTGAACCTAGGTGCGTTGTTTGTGGCATATGGAAAATAACTATACAACGAATTCGCACGTGTTGAAATAATACTTATATTGAAGTTAATTAATAAGCGCTTACTATCCATTTTAAAATTCATTATTTAGAATCATTTGTTACTATCTTAATTCTATTAGTTTTATATTTTATCATATTTTATTTATTTCAATCGTAAAATATGATTTATCTATATTTTGTTCACTTTTCAATACTTGTACATCGTATACACAGATATAGATAGTATATGTATACTGTATAGTACAAGTATAAAATCATAATTTGATATATCATTATGTTTTTTTTTTTTTAATCAAAAAACGTTTTGTATTCATACGTTATAGTACCTATTTTAATAATGCTATTAAATATCAGTCATATAATATGGATATGGAAATACGATATATTTATATGATATGCCGTATAATTTTCATAACTTCATTATACTA